TCAACGGAAGGATTTAGCATGTGTTCATTGAAGCATTGTACCCTTGTAACTACGGGCCATTTTGGTTTAGCCACCCGTTTCTCAGGGCTCGGGTCTTCCAGACAGGCACAGTCCAAGAACTGGCTCTTGAGGGAAGTGAGAGGAAATCTGATGTTTTCTTTGTATCAGGGGACTGAACTCATTTTCTCAACTTTTTGTGGATTGTTGACTGGTGTTTCCACACTCTGACACTCTTGCCCTGCGTTGGGCAAAACCAAGAAGTGTAATACCATGTAATACCGTGATAAGTTCTGTATCCCTGAAGGACTGTTCGTGTTTGTTTGTTCAATGATCGAGGTGTTTTTTTGGGAGGCATCCTCCCAAGTTGCCTGTCATATACGTCTTCCCCACCACCTGCGCTTGGTTAGATGCATGTTGTGCACCGTTGTGCTGGAGGAGTTGGAAAGCTCTTGGGTGGCCGTACGGCAAGCAGGAGTCCAAGGATTCCTGCCAAACATAGCTTACTGTACTACGTCACCAAGAGCCTTGGCAGTTAAGACCGTGCAGGTTGGGTTGCGAGGATGCCAAAAGCACCACCCCAAGCAGGACCTTCAAAGTGTCGGCTGAGCGACCCCATTCTGGCATCTCAAAAGGTCACTCGAAACGTCTTGGAAGAAGGAGGTTGTAGGAGGTTGTAGGTAGGAGGTCTTATGCTGTTCATGTGGGGTGTGTTCACCACGGGGAGTTGCGAATGGATGTGAAGGAAATAGTGGATGGGGGCGCGAACATTAGTATTCCGCCATGTCCATGAATACTGCAAAGGTCTCAGTGACAATGCTTCCCTGCTGAAAGAACCACATATATTTTGTGAGCTTTCTAAACAGATTGAGTCAGTTTCCAAATGTTCATCATGAGCATGCAGCTCTTTTCGGAGGGCCGGAGAGTCTGACCAAGAGGCTCTCCCTGGATCTCCCTTTGTGTGAGTTGTTGTCGGCCACAAGACACCATGTTCCCTCGCACGTGTTCAATTGGTTTCTGTTGAACATATTACGTTTCCTCCACCAAGTCGAACTGTTGAAATAACACAGGGAGAACTACCAAAGCTGATGTCACGAGAGCTGCTCGCCCCAGTGTCACTCCTCATCTCACGTGGTCCTGGGCCTCTCAGGAGCGGTTGCGATGCCTTATTTCAATCGGTTGCTCCGCAAATCTTTGACTCTGGAGAGCAATTGTGCATCGCAGAAGCGTTCGATTCCGAATTGGTCTCAGAGGCCGGAGGGAAGTCTATATGTCACATGTCAGATGGCAATCTGTGATGCTTGGGGGCGTTTCAAACGGAGAGGGGGGCACAGTACTTTCAGGGCAGTTCCTCCTTTTTGAACTCTTTTTCTATCGATTTGGGTCAACTATCGACTCCGATGTTGGGGATGTCACGACTCCACTAGACTCTAGACTCTAGACATGACGCAAGCAGTCAATCAATTCTTAGAATCCAATATTGTGCTCGCAGTTGCAGCCGATGATGATTCCACCCAGTAGTCCAAGCTTCGACACTGTGGAAATACAGGTAATCAGAGTGTGGAATGGAGACCATTCTTGGCAAGATTTGTTTTCTGGACTGTTTTTGTCACCTTGCCAGCAGGGGGAGTGAGCTCACCTGGACTTTCCGGGCTGAAATCCTACCCAAGGCTTTGGGATCTCATGACCCCACGGGATGGTGTTTGGGAGCACATCGACAACCTCCCTTCCCAAGAGATCATGTGCCACAGCCACTTGGAAGAGAAGTAATGGCACTGGTTTTGGGTGGCACGTGGGCATCTCCCTGCTAGCTCAATGCAGGGAGGAAGCTGTCATGTTATTGAAAGAGGACATTTCAAGCTCTTCGCTCCCCTGTCGCCTCATCCCTCCTGATGGTCCCCCGAAGTGCCTGGTTTGACCGCTGACGACGCAACTCGAACACGTGGCGGAGAACACGTGTTTGCGACGCCAGGGGAAGATTCAGGCTGCGGCGGCGCGTGAGGAGCCCATGAAGTCATGTGGATCTTGAAAGCCAAGTCACCGCCGCTTGGCAACGGGAGCCGGGACGGGGAGCAGGCGGAGGGCTACGCTACGAGGAGGAGAGAAGAGGGAAAGAGAGAGAGAGAGAGAGAGAGAGGGAGGGAGGGAGGGAGGGAGGAAGAGAGAAGAGAGTAGATCCCTTGGCTCAGTAGATCCCTTCCGTAGGTTTGAGCCGCAAGGGCGAACTAAATTGCCTTTTGCCACGATGGACCTGTCTCAAAATTGCATGGGCTCCCCAAGCCAGGAAGTGAACTGATCTAGTTTTTTCTCGAAACAAGTGTGGGCAAAACGGCCCCAAACTTGGACCTTCCTTTTTGCATTGAAGTAGTCGAACTCTCGACTGCCAGGTCTGGGGGTTGCTGCTTCACGAGATCACGAGGGCTTCACCTTTGCAAGGCGTGCAGAAGAACACTGCGCCCAAAAGGTAACGGTTATGAGTGGGCAAGTCTTGGATTCAGGAGAGGTGGAGCTGGAGTCCCATGTTTTTTGTTTGTTCTTTTTGGGTTTAGCTGTCATTTTACGATACCAACAGGGCACACACCCAAAGAGGTTCATTGTCCAAAACATGTCCAAAAGGTCCAGAGTTTTGGACACACCTCTGTGGGAGTTCCAGGCACCTCCACCACCCCTGGTGTGACAAGCACTCACTGACAAGCACCGTTGGACATGTGTTTATTCTTTTTGCACCCCCTACTTGGTGATGGAGGGAGCGTCGTCCCGGCCACGCCCCCTGTGTTCCAAGCTCTCCAGGCTGAGCTTATCAGAGACCTGAACGCCTGAACGAAGGCGAGTTTGATGGTGAGAGATGTTGGAAGCCTGATGTCTGGGCGGGTTCAAGGTGGAGGGCAGTGGCGAAGCAACACCAATCCCAAAGACCGATTCGTGGCATTCATGGCTGCTTGGGAGTTCTGACGCATTTCTGCAGATGTTTAGCCTTAAGTGGGGGAGTTTTTCTCCGCGCAGAGGTGCCGGTGGGTGTCAGCTGACCACTGCCGAGTAGGGCTTGGTCGTTCCATCGAATGCGGTTGGGTTGAAGATCCGTTCCCACCTGACTGGCTCTGCTGCAGAGCCGCTGCAGGAGCTTTTCGGCCATGAACAGCTGGAGCGCGTCCACCACGTCCACCTTACACAGCCTCTGGGCTCCGAGCAGGGCAGAGGCGACGCACCTGGGAGCTGCTGGGACGTCAGAATATGTCAAATAGATCTCCCCCCAAAAGTCGCATGAGGATTCATGAGTTGCAATCAGTTTGGTTCCTGAAACCAAGTAAAACTTCTTCAACCTTGGAGTTCTTTCTTGTAGCTCTGGCTCTGCCAATCCCCTTGTCCCCGCTCTGGTCGTTTGTGGCGGCATGAGCACGACAGGATCCAGCACGCCGAGCCCAGCACCGCTGATGCGAAGGAGAACACTTTGGTTGACGCGAGTGGATGCGTATCGCGATCCGTGACGATCCTGGTTTCGTTGTTTTACTTAAGTACTCTTGAAGGTGATGGCTGTTTGGTGTCAATCCGTCTTTCGAATTCACTGGCACCCGGAATGTCGATTTACACTTTCCCATCTTTTCACCGTTTATGCTGCCGGATGGCTACGATTGTAGCTTCGATTGAACAATGGGGTTCAACATGGACACAAAAGTATTGAATTCCAGTGGCTACGTTCTGTTTCGTATTATTTCATTGAGGGTCCCGTCCTATTGAGAGATGAGATTCTACGTTGACAGAATAATATATTATCTATATATGTCTACCATGCAATTTCATTCCAGGCTGCCAAAGGAAGACGGAACATTAGACACATATAAAGAACATATTTTTGAAACCCGATCTTGGCATGTTCAATTTTGGCAGGAATCCTCGATGTCATGGCAGACCATCCTCGATGATCAAATGTCGCTCTTCGTGTCACCCTCTTCGACCAAAAGCCCAAAGACGAGCTATGTCGATGGAGTTAGCGAGTTCGAGTGACAAAACAAGGGCGATTTCCCACCTGCTGGACCCATTGGAGACTTGTTCTCGGTCTTTTGTGGATTTGGTCTAGTAGAGTCTCAGTCTTTTGAATTAGTAGCCGCAGCACAGCTCCAACAAGGAAGGCCTCAGCAGCTTTGACACGCTGCTTTTTTTCCCACAGCCTGGGTCTCTACTTAGCCTGATTTGGCTTGAGAAGTCCTTTGATCTTTTTGGGTTTGAAGGTTGAAGTTCTTTCATGTTGCGTTCCTACATCCGAACCCGATGCCTGCCGCAGCATCAGCAGCTCTTCTCAAGTTGCAGTTGCAGCAACACCCAGGGCCAAGGCACACCCACAGACACCTGTACATCACTTAGACTTACACTTCTATGCCATTCACGACGTGATAAGCACCAAACATCTACCGCCTCTTTAAGCCAAGCAGGTGATATATATATATACATACAGACTGCAGGACTCTGATGCAAGTATGTGCAACAACAGAACGATGGACCAGATGAATCTTCCACAAAACGTGACAACCCTCTACTGTAGTTTAGAAGAGTAGTAGGTGCATAAAACCATGTACTGTGTGCACAACACGTCAAATCTTAGGTTGCAGCCCGATTTGATTGATGCCTCAGTCCGATGAAGACGACTCTTTGTTTCCACGTTTAGGGAGGGAAGACAGAGAGATTACATGTTCAACGGTTTTGATTTGAGGGTATTGGAGGACAACACGGCTGCTTGGAAAATCAGCAAATTCAAAGAATCAATGACCAGCATGTGAAATTTCGAGAATCAATGTACATCCGAATCCACTGATCCACATCCACCTGTCCTGCCAGTGTAAGAATCCAAAAGCCATACTATCTTATACAGTTACAGTATACATTGACTTCCGGCTAGCAGGTGCCCCTTTGGGGGGGGGGGGAAGTCCCCCCATTTTTGGAGCCAATAGTCAGATTTTTATGCAATTTTATGCCAGAAAGAAAACCGGATCTCATCTCTGAATCAAAATCTTTCTCCACACCACTGCGCCACCCACCGCGCCATCCTCGCTCCGTGGAACCGATCTCTGCTTCCCATCACCTGTGGACCTCGGTGCACCGGAGCGGGTGGGGGGTGCGGCGGGTCCGGCGAGGTTGACGGCGAGGTGCTTTGTGACGGGTCCAATGGGGGGGATTCCAAGTATGGAAAGGGCCATGGATGTGGAGCCCTTTTCTTTCATCCAGATGTTTCGGACATCCGAGTCTGGCGATGGCGATGGCGATATTGAGACTTCGAATGGCCGGATGTGGTCCGGTGTTGCATGTTGCTTATTGTGTCAATCTTTGGTCGTCTTCAAGGTGGAGCTACATTTGTTCTGGTCGTTTGGGAGACAGTACGGCGTGGAGACAGTACATGTAGCGCTCGGATGTTCATATTTGTCCAGGACTGTGAACGAAAGAGTTAAGTTCACCGCGTTCGCCCGTGGGGTGAGACCTCATTGCGATCTTCGGCTGAACTTGAGGGTTCTACAAGTTTGGACAGAAAAGGCACCTGTGGATGCTGACAAGCACAAGAAACCTCCCCTTTCAAGGCAACCCCCAGCATTCCAGTTTCAAAAAGGGATGGTTCTGTCAAGACTTACAAGAACCATGCTATTAGGTCATCCCTCAGACCGCATCAGGTCACCCCACCTTTGCTTCAACATACTGAAGGCGGTTTCCCCACGCGGCGCGCTTCGCAGGGCCTGCGAGGCAATGAGCAGCGGCAGCTCGGCGCTGGAGTTCAGCTCAGTGGTGGCCACAGAGGCACCGAGGGACGATGATGAAAGGATTCCCCTTTTACGCAGATGCACTTGCTGAGTGGAACATGAGTGCACCCTTTTCTACTTCTGTTGGAAGGCTCATTTGTGCATGGATGTGCATGGGACCCTGTGGACATTCTTGCTTAAAGACATCTCAAGTCTCAAGCTCCAAGTTTGGAGGATGCGGCATTTGGGGGCCATCGCGGCTTGGCAGAACTTTGAGGCAGACTGGTGTGATCTTCCAGATGACAGCCGCTCGCGGCCACTGGGAACTTGCCACTCTTCAGCTGTAACTTCTCTTTCAACAGCAACAAAGAAACAGCAAAGCTTTGCTGCAACATGCTCCAAAACTCCAAAGGATGTTGACCTTTCTCAGTTCATTTAGTAAAGACATGCTGCTGACCTCAGACTCAGATAGCATCAGTCCACATCAGATGGCCGCCCCAGCTGGTCCTTTCTCCCACGCTGAGGAGACTCGACGCCCGGAGTCAGCACCGCAGCGGGAGGAACTCAGAGAGGCGCGCCGTTCCGCCCTCCGCCGCGAACGCGGTCACAGTCGGTGTAATGCGACTCTTCAGTGACTTGTTGAGGCGAGCTGCGAGCTCAGCAGTTTTGGGTGGTTTGGCGGCGTTTTGGAAGGGAGCTTCACTCCAACGCCTTGAGGAAAGCGGTCAAACTTGTGGAAAAACCCGACTCGTTTCTTCTCAAAGCTCCGTTTCTTGGGGCTCCTCGACGTTCCGGTCGTTGACCGTCCACCGGAACGGTGGTTTAAACGAGGCTTTTGAGGAATGAAAGCTTGAAGGGATCATCCAAAATGACTCAGGATGGATGAAATTCTATGAAATTGGGTGAAGCGCTTTGGAGACTTTTCTTCATGCGGAGGGTTTGGCCAGGAAGGCTGTTGTTTTGACTCGACATGTCGTTTGATGATGTTTGATGTGACTTTTGTATTGCGAGAGGCGCTGGAAGCAGTGTGGAAAGCATGACAGCTGCCTGGAAGCAAGACGCCAGAGGCTCTGAAGTTTTTAAGCACAGTTATACCAAAATGCTGCATGCTGTCAAAAAGAACGGAACTGTGCAGATGAACCTCGAAAAGGATTGTCAGCAAGAACCAGGGCTGATGCCAATGGGCTGAGTCATGCCAGACATTGACGAGAAAACATCCCAATACCGGCGGCCCGAACTCCAAACTCATCTCCCTTACCATAAACAGCGCCCCAAATCCCATACTAAAGAAAACTCCATACAACTCCGAAACAAGAGGAGGACACCGAGGACCCTCACCTCCTTCTTTGGACCTGACGATAAAAGCGTTGCCAAACCACGGTTTTTGGGCGTCGAGCCCAGCGGAGCCAAGGACTTGCGGCGCCAGGTCGAAGCGATCTTCACCTCGAAGCTGGGAGAGTCCGACTCTTTGGAGCGGCAGAGCTCCTGGGACCCTGGTGAAGTTGGGAGTGTCGGAGAGGAGGTGCTGATATAGAAGTGATATGTTTTTTTGGTTTGGTGTGTACGACTCATATATTCATATATTTAAGCATCTTGCTTTGGATGTCTTGGTCTTGGGAAACTTGGGATTCTGCATTTGTTGAAATCATTTGGTACGACTCTATAATTAACGTACATTAACGTACACATTGGGATTGCTTGGACAACTGCGGACTTTTTGGGTGGAGTTTGCGTCCTTTTCTTGGTTATATGTGTTCATGGATGTTGCCAACAGCAGATACGGTTAAGTTGTAGCTCGGCTGGGGGATCTGAGCGATTTGTCCGTCAAACTGATCGAAGACTGAGGCTACATCGAAGTGCTTCAGAGTATTGGTGGTACCTTGCAGGAGGCCAATGTCCTTCTCAAGGAGCCGCCAGTGGAGCGTTTCACCCTGCGGGACACTCGTCAAACGTGGCCTATGAAAACAGTTGACGCCGAAGGCTTCGATTTAAGAAGAACATTCATAGAATGTTTCCGATTGCTCATGATCAGTATAGTTGGGTTGGGTGTTGGTAGTTGGTACATGGTTTGCACATGGCTTCCACTGAGTATCGAGATCCTTCCACAACTCAGCACTGCCTAGCATTGCTGATGTTGGAGGAGTACCCAGAAGACTCATGGATTTGTCGCTTGGCGGCGCCTGTCACTGCGACTGTGATCCGGAGAGATCTCCATACGGATGCATCTTCTGTTCAACACCATGCAAAGTTTTCCCATGTTTTGTTTGGAGAGAGAAGCATTTTGGTTGCATGCTGACCACCGGAGTCATGGGAGTTGTGCAACTCTTGAGGTGTGAAGGACTTCTTGGACATTCTCTTCAGCCCTTCAGAGGTGCCCGGAAAAGTGAGCGCCCAGAATCGCCCACAGAAGCTCCCTCGTCGCGAAAACCGATGCTTTTCTGCTTTGAAGGTTTGATGATTGTAGAAGTCTGATGTTAAACCTCACCACTTCATCTGTGTCAAAAGCTCGTCATGTTTAATGTGTCAAGCAGAAACCTACTGATTCATCTCCTGCTCCCCCACAAGACTTGCTGATCCTTTCAATGCCGGCTACCGGCTAATGCGGCAAATTCAAGACTCCACCACCTTTTAGCGAGTTAGTGCTGCTTCAAACCTCATACTTTTCAGGACGTATGTCTGAGGCCATTGGGACCCGGTTTGGAAGAGCCAAGAAATGGTGGTGTTGTTGACGAAGACTGGTGGCCACTTGCTCCTGCGAGTCGCCGAACAGTGTCCTTTGCTCATTCTTGCTCCTATAGTTGCCCGACTTGCCTGACATACTGTTTACTTGGAGCAGACTTGATTTGAACTCTAATTGAACATCACCTGAGTATTTGCACCAGTGGGTGGGACTGCACTAATTGCCAATTGCTTCGATCGATTTAGGGCAAGTCATTTTGAAGATTTTGCCATTTCGATGGGCACTCTTTTTGTTTGCGCGGAACGGCCCTTGGCAGCAGAATCGGTAGGAATTATTTCATCCACCGCCTTTTCCAATTCTATCCGAATGTGGAGGTCTCATCAGGTCTTCTGCTTGTAGTGTGGCCACGGAGAGGCCGCCATAGAGTGTCATAGAATCATAGAATGATATTAGTAAATTTGTAGTGACACGTTTGACGCCGTCTGCACTTAAAGATTTTGCCCTGTGTACAAGTACCTCACTGCCCTTTTGCCAGGCCAGCCTGAAGCGCTACTTCGAGAAGGCTTACAAGGAAGGCGGTGTGTTCTATCACGAGGAGTATGAACACGATGCGGATGACTGGTGCTGGCTCCACAAGGGGTCTAACATCAAGGTGCCATCAATGTGAGGGTTTGCGTAACGCCTCGTCACACGTTTTTACAGTTGCTAACTTGAGCTGCACCGGTAGCTCGTAGCAGATTCTTGCAGGTCTGGCAAGATGCGCTTGACCCGACCTAAGTTGTTGCACAAACATGTTTGTTGCATTTTGTACTTGACGTAAGGGACAAGCTTTGTGATGTCTATATACAGGCAAAGGAGTTAGAGTTGACACCTGCCGTGCTTTCTAATTTCAGGTGTCAGAGCCTTTGGAAAAAGACTCTTTGGGACAAATGGCCCCCCCGATCAGGTGGTTTTCCTTGGTTCGTGACAGGCTATAGCCTCTATAGGCCCAAAGGCCTGGCGGGCCAAGAAACATGGCAGACCTTTGCCTGATCCCTGCCTTTTGACCTTTCAGGATCTGACGCAAGCTGGTGCTGGTGGTGCTGGTGGTGCTGGTGACGTAGAATGCTTTTTCCACTACACCACGGAGCTCGGCTTTCACAACATTACCAACGAAAGCAAAGAATTGGTGGAAGTCTTCGTGTTTCTCTCAGAGTTCAATGTCATTACAATGTTTGAATTCAGTTCTTCACAGTGAGTCAGCTCCATTGCATCTGCCTTTGCAGGCATCTTTGGTCACAGAGGGTAAAAAGGCCAATGCCTGGTGGGGCCGAGGCAAGGGCTGCTAATGGCATGTCAGTCTTCTGTTAGATTCTATCTTGGAAACGGCAACAAAAAGTTCCAGAATAGGACGAAAAGCATTCGTAGTTTATTGATGCCATTGCATCTCTCAGGAGCCGGCGTTTTGCTGGGCACGTGTTCATTTCAACATGTTTGGCCACGGTGGTGTATCACTTGCACGTGTAGAACAGTGCGCACCGGTTTTGGGACTGTCCTACCCCTGCCGTTGTGAGACACACGGTTTGACATGACAGGTGTCTACTCCGTACAGAACTCAGTTGAGCGGGCACCCCAACGCGGGTGTCACACTTCGATGAATGCAAAATCTCAGAGATCCTGCCTGGGCCGATACAGCCATGCTGTCCGCACTGCATTTCCCCTAACACACCAGAACTGCAGCGTTACGTGTTGCGTGTTGTGGGGCGATTGAGGTTCGGAAAGCACCGAATCAATGGCCCAACATCGAGACCCTGCTCGATAATAATTACAGAAACATGATGAAGCGTGACATCGAACTGAAAGGCCGCGAGGCAACGGTAGAGGAGAGCTTTGCGTACAATTTGTGATTCTTCTTGATGTTTGCTGTTTGAAGATGATGAAGTATGTAGCATGCAGTGTTCACATTTCTTTCGTGCATGCAAGCCTAGCCTAGTATTGTTGGACAGACCGGGGCCGATTCCCTTTGAGATTCTTGATGAAGGAATATCACTCCAGAGTTGCCTATTGCATCCCCATGTTGGTGGATGCATGCTGCGCGTATGATGTCTCAAAACGACAGACGCCGGAAATGGTTGAGAAGGCTCGAATTGGATTTGCCATGGCTTGTGTATTTGTTTGCAACTGTGTGAAACTATCTTTGTGTTCGTGCGTTTTGCTGCTTGTCTTCCGCACAGGGCAGGCCGATCGGAGTGCAGCGCACCAAGTTCACTTTTGCACCATTAAAAAAGCTTCCATGTCCAAATTTAGACTTATCTACAGCCGGCCAAGGAATCTGGCTGGCAAGCTGCTGAATGAACCTGGAATGCCGCCAAGAGAATGCATAGTTGTCCGAGTACAACAGGAGGCGAGCAGACTTTGAAACAGATTATCATGGAAGTTTAGTTGGGACAACAACTCCAGAATTTCAATTCAACAGTTTATCAAGCAAGCTATATGTCATGCCAAGCTTCAAAAGCAATTAGGCAGTTCTGGCAGGGTTGCACATGTGTTGAGATGGTTTTTGCGTCTCTGGGTAGGGGGTGTTGGAACGATAATGGCTCGCAGTCAAAAAACAGTCGGGCATTCGCAACTTCTGGAATGCACGTATATACAGTGTTGCGTAGCTTCAAGTTGAAGCTGCAGATCCACAATGCTGATTTCGCATGTGTTCATGCCAGGCATTAATTACTGTAGATGCAAGGGCGCGCTGCAATACCATGAAAACGGTGTGGCGCAACGGCAAAAACTATCGTTCTAAACCATAGTGTAAGTACAAGGGCATTTTGCTGCTTGCTCAGGAGAAGGTCGGCCATGCTAGAGCAGTGCTGGTGGAAACGACGCTTGTTTGCTGATAATATAGTAAATAGTAAAACCTTAGTTTTTTGTCTTTCGACATCATCAAGGCGACTTCTTACCCAGTTTTCGACCTTCTGTTCTGGGGTTGTCAGTGCTTGTTTGCTGGCACATTGGACCAGGCAATTGCAGTCAACCTTTGTGTGGCTCTCATGCTTGGTGCCCGGATGGGCAGTGAGCTTTGTGAACACGTCGTTTTAAGCATTTTAAGCACTAGCAACTATGGCCTTGCACCTGTGCGTGGCTTGCTGCAAGCTTTTCACAATTTTCAGGGCATGCAAGGAATACCAGAATACGATACTTTTGACTTGAAGAGTGGCGAACGCCACCCCACAACCATTGACTTTGCTGTTTGTTTGTCTTTGGGACACTGTTGTAGGTTTAGGCTTGAACCGCTCTCCCAAATTGAATGGCCGTAGAGTAGAGCTAATTGATGTCACAGAAGTGAGTATTCGAGTACGGCTTGGGCAATCACCACAACCCAGAGTATTCAGAAATGAACTCCTCATTAGACTGTGAATCTGATTGATAACGCGCACTCTGGAGCGCTCGTGTTGATAGAAGATTGGTGAACGAGTTGTGAGTGGCCCAGGCTCCGCTGCCGCGCCGAAGCCATCACCACCCACCTGGGCTCAGAGCATGCTGAAACCCTTTTGGCGTTAAGCCGGTCACGTCCTCGGCCTTTTCAGAAATATTCGCAGGATTTCGCAGGCAATTTGTATAATACTGACTGCTGCAGATGCAATATGTGCTGGAAATTCCGAGAATGGCTTTGCATCTTTTGTTGTTGTCAGATTTCAATGACATGTCTAAAGACAATCCGATTATTACAGATCTAAATCAAATAACAGATCAACATATTACAGATCGAATTAATATGATATCACAAAAACGATTTCTTCATCCAAAAGGAGGTCCTTTTATTATTCCAACCTATCCTTGGACCTCGACTCCGTGAGGCTCGCGTCCGTGCTGGAGGACCGCGGCGCCCTGGCCGAGGCGGAGACGCTGCGGCGGCGGATCCTGGCGGCGGAAGAAGCGCAGTTTGGTCCCGAGTATCCGAACACGCTCAGTGCGCTGAACAATCTGGCGCTGGTCTTGACGCGTCGCGGCCAGTGGAAGGAAGCGACAGACTTGTACCGCAGGGTGGTGGAGGCGGACGAGCGTCTCCATGGAGCTGCGCATTTGGAGACGCTGGTGCCCGTGGCGAACTTGGCGGTTGTGCTGAGGCTTCAAGGCCAATTGGCCGAGGCGGAGGCGCTGCAGCGCCGGGTCCTGACGGGCCGCGAGGAACAGCTGGGGTCGAAGCATCGAGACACCTTAGTGTCATTGAACAACCTGGCACTCGTGCTTCAGAGCCAGGGCAAGTTGGATGAAGCGGAGCCCTTCGCCCGGAAATGCATGGAGGGAAGGGAAGCTCTTCTTGGAGCAGCACATCCAAGCACCTTGATTTCCATCAACAACCTAGCCACGCTTCTTTACGAGCAAGGCAAGCTCCATGAAGCAGAAGAGCTGTTCCGAAGAGCTCTTGCCGGAAGCGAAGCACAGCTGGGGCGCTCCCATCCAGATACCTTGACCTGGGTCTACAATTTGGCGAATGTCCTCATGAAGCAGAAGCACTTCGCTGACGCGGAACCGTTGATGCGGAGAGCCCTGGCGGGTTTCGAGTCGCACCTGGGAGCCGGGCATCCGCACACGTTGAACAGCATCCGTCGCCTGGCCAAGCTCTTGGAGGCGACCGGCTCCATCGCCGAGGCGCTGGGGAGCAATATTAATGGTCTGAAGGGGAGGACCTTCCGCGGATGGGCGGTGGAACGGTTGTTGGATTTGTGGTGAGTTTTCGGGGATACAATGAATCTGGAGTCATCATGGGGTTCCATGACAGTTAAAGACATTGGAGACTCAAGGCGTCATGCTAGCCCAGACCTCAGGCCGAGACCTTTCAAAGGGCAATAGCGATTTGGAAGTGACCTTCTTCAAGGATGAATGGCCGTTTTCGCTCAATGCGAACCGAATCTCCACCTCTGAAACAATCTCCCCCGAAAAGGTGTGGCAGGTCATCCACGGACTTCCAGTAGGCAATGCTCTGATGAAAAAGGACATTTGGTCCAGGGTGATTGGCTGTATTCGCTCAATGCGAACCCTTGGAAAAGGGATTTGGGGAACTTGGAGCTTTCTCTTCAGTTGCCTACCATAATGCTATACTGGACGTACCCCCTGGCTAAGCTTGAAGCTTCGGGAATTAGAGAGCCGATTGTCCAGGCTGAGGAGCTTTTCATCAGAGAGTTGAACGGCATGGAGGACAACCCGACAATCGAAAGACGCTGAAAGGATGCCTTTCACTCCACAGATCGTTTGCACAATGAGCATCAATGACAATTTGTCGCTCAACTCATTTCTCACACAACAATGCAGAACTTGTATTATTAGAGAGTTTCATGGTGAAGTGCATGCCTACCCCGTATACATTTACTGAAAATCAATCAATACTCGTAGGTACTGGTATATATATATTTTTCCCTCGGAGTAAGAGCGGTCCAGGTGCACTTCAACCTGGTGATGCACACAAACAGTACACAAGTGTCTATGACTGTGATATCTGACACACCATGTTCATCAGGCACAGACAGCGCATTGCAACATGACATCTTCCAGCACCGGCACAGGAGCTCCACGGCCCTGAGGATCTGAAGACGCTCAGATCGATGAGCAACGTGGCACGTGTGCTGATTGAGCGGGAGAAGTTCGCTGACGCAGAGCCATTGATGAGGAGAGCCCTGGCGGGATTTGAAGCTCAACTCGGAGCCAATGATGCAGAAACGCTGAGCTGCGTCTATTGCCTGGCAGAGCTTTTGGAGGCGACTGGCTCCATCACCGAGGTGCGGGCGGATGATTGAGGGGGTTTGCGGTGGGTCGGATTTCTGTTGGACTGGGGGCGTTTGGAACGGATTCGCACAAAACGGAAAGTCCACGCCACCAGCCACTTGGGATCACGCGAGTTCGACGAGTTAACGAGCCCGATCGTCCAGGCTGAAGAGCTTTTCATCCGAGATTTCAACGGGATGGAGGACAATCCGACAATCGAAAGGCGTTGACTCGGCAGGTCATGTGCTCTTTACGAACTATTTATGTGACTTGTTTCTAAATCGAACTTTTCGGAGGTTCTCTGGTGCCTTCGTGTTATAAGATGTCTGGCCAGAGACTTGACCGTGTGTGGAGCAGAGGTGCACCACTAACCTCCAGCATCGTCTGAGCAAAAAACTCGGCTCCCAAAGGTTTACGGCCATGATTCTCTTTCACAGTCACTCTCAGCGAACCACAGGCAAGCATGCGGTTGGTGTGCTTAAGTGTGCTCTCAGTTGGTGACGCTTCCAGTGCAAAACGCAAGGACTCACCCCAAAACCATCCAAAACCCTGTTTCTGCTGCTTTTCATCGCAGGAGCTTCACGGCCCAGACAATGAGGAGACCCGAGGCAGTCGCAGAAACCTGGAGCGCTTCCGGCGCAAGCACGGGCGATCAGCAGGCTGAGGTGCTTCAGGGTGGGGGACTGATCCTTCGCAGGAACTCTTTTGTGATTTGATCAGCTGGTCATTTTGGTGAATGTTCTTGCGCCACGCGTCGTGGCCATGCTTTTGCTTTCCATGGTGTTGATCGTTTTTGCGTTAACCAGGGAATCCGGATGTGGTTTTTCTGAAAGACCGGACCAAAGTCTGTTTAATCTCTTTCTTACTGCGCGAATCTCACGTACACGTGGAGTTCATGCAGAGCCTTTGCTTTCTTTATTGGATTTCATTGAACCGGTGTCAATACTCCATGTCCTGGTGGATAACAAACAATTGCATTTTGTTTGTTGTGTTCAGTCCTGCCTATGGAACTCTTCAGCATGATCTAGGTGTCCTTCTTTGGTGCTTGCAGTGTTTTGCACCGTCCCTCACTTCATACCACGATCATTGGCTCCTCCACTCCGCTTCATTGTGACTTACATGCCATGTCGACTCACCAGCACGAGCAGTCAGTAGCCCCTTCTAAAGCTGCCAGAACAACAATAGGACACAACAGAAAGAAGGAATCCGCTCCAGGCAGCATCTACCTCATGGCCAAGGCACTGTGTGTGTCACCATCGTTGCAGCCCAACGGCATCCAAAGACGAACTAAGTCATTGGAGGATCCAAAGAGCTTGGCTTGAGTGAAAAAAGTATCAGTCCTCCGGGGAGTGGGTTGAGATGTTCCTGTATGATGTATGGCTTGAGAATGGCATCCTGCATTCTGAACATTGCCTCATAACGTTTGCAGCACATGCTTCTTTGGAGACGTTCCAAACGTTCTAATCTATTGCCACCCCACAATCAGTTGGATGAAAACATGGGTCTTTTGGATCAAAAGTCAGGAAGGAACCAACATCTTGGAACCAAACCCGCTCCACTTCTGCCTCCAACGTTTCTCTTCCACTCGGTTCGACCGCCACGGGGTAACTTTTCTTGATTTCTGGATCCGCAGGATTCTCCACCTTTGTCCGTTTTTAGTTGGATCGTTGAAACAGTACCACCATTTGGTCAACTACTTGTTGGTACGAGCTACTTCTTGGATCTTCCTGGCTTGTAGCAAAAACATGCAAAAACTAGTGAATTTGCAAACCCCTTAAACTCAACTCTCGCGACCTCCCACCCAATCACGTGAGCAGCTCACTCAACTGCACGCTCCCCTGACCCCTCGTGAACGCTCGACTGCTGCGGTTTGGGCTCAGCTGTAAGGGCAATGTGGGTTTGAATTGCACTACACTGCACCCGCAGAAGGGATAGGGGGCGACATGCGCCCCCTTCTGCAGTAGTCTTGGCCGCGCCTTGGTGGCAATTAAGGCTGGTTTCAGGATGGTGTGAAACACTCACTGCAAGAACTGATGGAGAATGACGGTTTGCCCTGCATTGGGAAGAGTCCTCTCATGCCTTTGGGATCCTTTGGGATATTGGGATGTGAACTACTGCTAAGAGCTTTTCTGGTGTTCTGCACTCACAGGCGGGCTGCTGATGAAATTGGCGAGAATTACCGTCCGATTGGCAGATGAAGACAGGCCATGCGTGGTGTTGATCTTGAATCTTGTTGGAGATTCTGATCCCTAGTGGATCGCGCGGTCTCCAATTAGATAAGTTTGCTGTTTCCGATCCTTTGCTTTTCCGTGGTTAGCTATGCCTTGAGATCAGCAACAGAGGGTTGCTCATGGAGGATTTCTAGTTACGACGACGACGACGACGTTTGAGAATTTATTAAAGCCCGTATGATGTCACCCATGCGATTTGAATGAGAAGACTCATTTTTTCGCTGGAACATAACCGAGACTATGGGGGGGCGTCCACCTCGCTTTATGACTCGCGCGATCCGGTGAGCAACGGGATTCCACACTGATCCGTGCATGAGCGATCGCCAGGTTTCATCTTGAAGATGGAGCAACGACAATCATGCCTCGGACAGAGGGCCTGTGGGCCACCACTTGGCTGAAGAACTCATAGAGGACAAGTGTAGCGCTGGACAAAAACGTGGATGTAGTAGCTTTTTCTTGCTAGCTTTTCCTCACCAAAAATCACGCGGGAGGAACTACTCCAGTTGGTGGTTCCTCGCAGATTGTTGGTTGTCGCATTTTTGTAGGTCTCCAAACAAAGACCAGAATTGTTGTCACAGTTGTCTGGTGGAAGGATCAAAGCTATATGTTTGCATAAGAGAACTGTGTCCTCAACTTTGTTCCAGCCAACTAGGACTCCCAAACCAAGCCATGACCCTCTCTTCAGCCTCCCAAACCGCGATGAGTCTGTCCACCGGCAGCAGGACGGCAGGACGGCTGCCGATTCCTTCCCTCCGAAGTTTCGCAGGCGAGACGTTGATGGAATGTCGTTTGCGCTTGCTTGGTTTGCATGAAGGGGGGTGAGTCTGATGATTTCTATACGACATGGTGACTCAAAGACCCGGGCTTTGGAACTTTAGGTTGGACTGCTAAGGGGGTTGTTGGCGCTGCTTAGGATTAGAGTCCTATAATATCAAAGACTCTTGGATGACTCCAAGAATACAAGCTGAGCAAGACAAAGCTGAACGCGCATCCCATGACTAGAAAGATCAAAGACCTTGCTCACCGCCCAGGAACTGGTCGACCAGGTGGTTCCAGGATGGTACGATCTCTTTTACTAGCCACGCTCCAGCGCCTTAGTCTGCAGAGTTTTCTCCTGAGGCACTTCGTCGGGCAGAGTCGGGACAGTTGAGAGCAACGACCAGTGTCCAGAGGCCACAAGCAAGGTCCGTCAGGCCAAAGGTTGGCGGGTTGATTGTTCTGCTCCTTGAAGGAGTCTCTTCGTGTTACGTGAAAACCGCCCCTTTGGGCCATTAGAACCACCAGTCTAGGGCTAGAGCCATACCAGAACCTGTGACCTCAACAGCAAGCAGGACAGACAGGATGATTTGCTACCCCCCCCCTCACCTCTTTTGGGTTCCATACGATAAGTAGATCAGAGACTGATGAAATTTATAGATGAAACATGTGCCAGACACACAAATAGAAATTCCAAGTGCCTTCATTGTTGACCATCATTTTTTGCACTATAGATTTCATAGAATACATGTAGTAAATAACAACAATCCATTTTTGCACGATCACTGTAGAATCCATAACCATCCAGGACCTCTATATTGTGGTACGGCGCTTTTGTTGACTTTAACCAGAAACAAGGATGTCATTGTCAATAAGTAGAATTGCCATTAAACTCATTAAACTGGATCATAAAGTTTAATGGCGTAGTTTGCTCCTTCACTTACCTGGTCTGTTCTTTTCTCCAACACTGATACTGTGCCACTGGTGTCACTGTGACATGTGCTTTATCAACTTCATCGATCATCTGAGCACGGTTCTCGCCTGTGAACACTTGGCCAAGGTGCAGTCTGCAGCTACAGGGAGTCGCATTCGCTCGTGCAAGGCATCAAGGGTGGAATCGGAGAAGTGGAATCGGCTCTTTTTGTTTGTTTTGCGCTTGTTGGATGTGATTCATCTTGAGGCTTGCCCACCAAGGATTTTGGTCAAAAACCTGGCTCTCCAAGAACACCATTCTGGGAGGATTTTGTATTTCGCAGCGGAGAGGCGACGAACCCGGGAGCCGTAGGATCCTGTTGATAGATAGCTCGCCCCAAAAAAGTGCGGGACACACTGGGGAATTGCATGGTTCATGAGGCTTCATGAGTTACGATCAGTTTGGTTCGTGGAACCAAGTAAAACTTCATCAACCTCAGAGTTCTTTCCTGTAGATCTGCCAATCTCCTTGTCCCCGCTGGTCATGTGTGGCAGCACGACAGGCACCAGGTACACGCCCAGTGCCCCGGCACTGCGAACGGCTGGGAAGGAGAACTCTTTGATTGGCACGAGTAGATGCGTACTACGATCCGTGACGATGTGAAGGTGATGGCTGTTTGGTGTCAATCGATCTTTTGACTTCACTGGCGCGGCACATCGATTTGCGCTTTTCACTGTTCATGCTGCCGGAGGTGTTTCTGTTTGTTCTTCTGACCGGTTTCAGTGTCATCGGATTTTGGTTAAAGATACCTTCTTGCGATTGTAGCTTTGACTGAACAGTAATAGGGTTCAACATGGATACAAATGATTGAATTACAGTGGCTGCGGCTACGTTCTGTTTCATATTGTTTCATTGAGGGTCCCGTCCTATTGAGAGATGAGATTCTACGTTGACTGAATGTTTTTTCTGTCGAGCATGCAATTTCATTCCAGGCCGCCAAAGGAAGACGGAGAAGAACTACATAAGAACACATTTCTGAAACACGATGTTGCATGTTCAATTTTGGCAGGAATCTTCGATGTCATGGCAGACCATCGTAGGTGATCAAATGTCGCTCTTCGTCTCACCCGCTTCGACCAAGCCCAAAGACGAGCTATCTCGATGGATGGAACGAGTTCCAGTTCGAGTGACAAAACAAGGGCGATTTCCCACCTGCTGGACCCATTGGAGACTTGTTCTCGGTCTTTTGTGGATTTGGTCTAGTAGAGTCTCAGTCTTTTGAATTAGTAGACGCAGCACAGCTCCAACTCATGTTCCAAATCGGTGGAAGGAATGCCTCAGCAGCTTTGACACGCTGCTTTCTTTCCCACAGCCTGGATCTCTACTTAGCCTGATTTGGCTTGAGAAGTCTTTTGATCTTTTTGGGTTTGAAGGTTGAAGTTCTTTCATGTTGCGCTCCTACATCCGAACACGATGCCCGCCGCAGCATCAGCAGCCCTTCTCAAGTTGCAGTTGCAGCAACACCCACGGCCAAGGCACACACAGACACCTCTACATCGCTCAGACTTACACTTCTATGCCATTCACAACGTGATAAGTGCCAAACATCCACCGCCGCTTTGCCAGGCAGGTGATATATATATGACCGCAGGACTCTGATGCAAGTATGTGCAATAACAGAACAATGTACCAGATGAATCTTCCACAAAACGTGACAACCCTGGATCTATACTGGATCTATAACGTACAACATTTTAACGTGGCTGGCTTGGGGGATATAGGCAGCATATTAAGTGGATCCTTCGGTGTGGCGGTTCCCTCTTCTTCGAAGGCAAATTCAAAGGATCAATGATCACCACAATTTTATCGCGATCAACCATATTATGTCAAACGTCGAGAATCATAGATCCACATGTCCTGACAGTGTAAGACTCCAAAAGACATTTTATACAGCTAGCAGGTCTCCCTTTCAGGGGGAAAATCCCCCAATCTTAAGCATTCTAAAGCTAATAAGTCAGATTTTATGCAATCTCAAAGAAAACTCATCTCATAATCAAATCTTTCTCCACACCACACCGGTCACCGCTCCTCTCATCGTTTGCACCACGCTACATCATCGCTTCGTTGAACCGATCTCTGCTCCCTGTGGACCGGACCTCGGTGCGCCGGTGCAGTGGGGGGTCCGGTGACGACGGTGAGGCATCACGAAGTGTTTTTGGGTCCAATGGGGGAGACTTCCGGGTATGTAAAGAGCCGTGGATGGATGTGGCCCGGGGTGCCTGCGATAGCCATTTCCCCTCACGAAAGGTGGCGTTGCTGGTCAATCTTGGTCGTCTTCGGGTCTATGGTCTACGGCGACATGGTCCAGGACTCTAGAAGAAAGAGTTAAGTTCACCACATTTGCCCACAGGGTGGGACCTGATT